TATGGTCGGAATCTACTGCAGAGTGGGCTATGTTTTGGTCTAAACCGAAAGAAGTGTGTGACATCTATGGTTTATGTGGGGACTTTAGGATTTGCAGACATACTGAATTTCCATTATGCAATTGCTTGACTGCTTTTGAGCCAAGATCAGAGAGTGATTGGAATCAGAGTGACTTCTCGGGTGGGTGTGTGAGAAAAACCGATTTACAGTGTGGAAGAATCGTTGAAAAGCCTGATTTTCTCATGATTACAGTGAAGAAACTGCCTCCACATAACTCTGTGGCATTTGGGAGTGCTAGAGAATGTCGTACAACCTGTTTGAACAATTGCTCCTTTAATGCTTACGCTCTTGTCGATAATCAGTGTTTGGTTTGGCATGGAGATCTCTTGAACCTCTTGGATGACAATGGTAGAGGGAAAACAATCTATGTCAAAGTTGCTTCTAAAGATCATCCACATCATAAGAAGAGTATACTGGTCACCATGGGAGCTGTTGTTGTGTGCATGGCAGGTGTGGTTTTCGTCTGGGGTGTAAGTTTGATTTTAATGTATAGAAGAAAGAGGATATGGGTTGGAAAGACGATAATGGAGGGATCATTGGTGGCTTTTGCATACAAAGATTTACAAATAGCCACCAAAAATTTCTCTAACAAGCTGGGAGAAGGTGGTTTTGGTTCCGTTTTCAAGGGGATACTGCATGATTCGTCGATTGTGGCAGTGAAAAAGCTTGAAGGCATCAGCCAAGGAGAGAAGCAGTTCAGAAGTGAAGTCAGCACAATCAGCAACATCCAACATGTTAATCTTGTACGCCTTCGTGGGTTCTGTGCTCAAGGTAAAATAAAGTTGTTGGTGTATGATTACATGGAAAACGATTCTCTAAACACCCATATACACTATGGAAAACAAGCTTTAAACTGGAAAACAAGGTATCAGATTGCACTTAGAATTGCAAGAGGATTGGTTTATCTTCATGAGAAGTGCAGAGACTGTATCATTCACTGTGACATAAAGCCAGAAAACATTCTTTTAGATGCCGAATTCTGTCCAAAAATTGCTGATTTTGGTTTAGCAAAGCTTGTTGGTCGAGACTTTAGTAGAGTTTTGACCACTATAAGAGGGACACGAGGGTATCTAGCACCAGAATGGTTATCAGGAGTGGCTGTCACAGCCAAAGCAGATGTTTATAGCTATGGAATGATGCTTTTTGAATTGGTTTATGGAAAGCGAAATGTAGTGCCTTGTGAAGATTCAAAAAGTACATTCTTCCCTAGTTTGGTCGCGGATGTTCTTGTTGGGGGAGGTGATATCCTTAGGTTGTTAGACAACAGGTTAAATAGGGAAGCTAGTGTTGAAGAAGTCACAAAAGTTTGCAAAATCGCATGTTGGTGTATCCAATACGAGGAAGAGAGTAGACCATCAATGAGTATGGTGGAACAGATTCTTGAAGGGGTTTTGGATGTGAACATGCCTCCGATTCCCCAATGTTTCACTTCATTTGTTGATAACGAGAATCGTGTTGTTTTCTTCATGGATTCATCCTCCAATGGGAGTTCACAAGTACACAACGATTCCTCCTAGTCGAAGAGCTCATCTTCTTGAAGGTCATTTTCTTTATCTTGTTTGTTACATTCACGAGAAAAATCATATCGTTGGAGTCATTGACTATTTTGTGGCAAATTGATAACCGTTATTATGAAAAGAATATGACTATATGAGCTGATCTAGAGCAATAATTGTTTTTCTTTGCA